GGAGATGGCGATCTGGACCTGGCGTCGGCGTCGGTATCTGACAACAAGATTGCGTGGTACGAGAACATCGATGGGGTCGGCAGCTTTGGGCCACAGCAAGTGGTGAGCACTGCAGCGCATGGGGTGCAGTCCGTGATTGCGACTGACGTGGATGGAGATGGCGATCTGGACCTGGCGTCGGCGTCGGCTTCTGACAACAAGATTGCGTGGTACGAGAACATCGACGGAGCCGGGAGTTTCGGGCCGCAGCAAGTGGTGAGCACTACCGCAAGCTATGCGCGGTGTGTAGTTGCGGCTGACGTGGATGGAGATGGCGATCTGGACCTGGCGTCGGCGTCATCCTCTGACAACAAGATTGCGTGGTACGAGAACATCGACGGAGCCGGGAGTTTTGGACCACAGCAAGTAGTGAGCACCACCGCAAGCTATGCGCGGTCTGTGCTTGCAGCTGACGTAGATGGAGATGGCGATCTGGACCTGGTGTCGGCGTCGGCTTCTGACAACAAGATTGCGTGGTACGAGAACATCAACGGAGCCGGGAGTTTCGGGCCACAGCAAGTGGTGAGCACGGCAGCACAGGGTGCAGTGTCTGTGATTGCAGCTGACATGGATGGAGATGGAGATCTGGACCTGGGGTCGGCGTCGGAGCGCGACGACAAGATTGCTTGGTACGAGAACATGGACGGGGCCGGAAGTTTCGGGCCACAGCAAGTGGTGAGCATTGCAGCGGGCAAGTCGCAATCTGTAATTGCGGCTGACGTGGATGGAGATGGAGATCTGGACCTGGCGTCGGCGTCGGCTTCTGACAACAAGATTGCGTGGTACGAGAACACCGACGGGGCCGGGAGTTTCGGGCCGCAGCAGTGGTGAGCACGACAGCGCTTCTGACAACAAGATTGCGTGGTACGAGAACACCGACGGGCCGGGAGTTTCGGGCCGCAGCAGGTGGTGAGCACGACAGCGCATGGGGCGCAGTCTGTAATTGCGGCTGATATTGACGGAGACAGTGACATGGACCTGGCGTCGGCGTCGGCCTCTGGCGACAAGATTGCGTGGCACGAGAAGACTGATGGGGTCGGGTGTTTCGGGTCGCAGCAAGCGGTGAGCACGGTAGCACAGGATGCGCAGTCGGTGATTGCGGCTGACATTGATGGAGATGGCGATCTGGACCTGGCGTCGGCGTCGTCCGTTGACAACAAGATTGCGTGGTACGAGAACACCGACGGAGCCGGGAGTTTCGGGCCGCAGCAAGTGGTGGTCAGCAGTGCAGCGAATGGTGCGCGGTCTGTGATTGCAGCTGACGTAGATGGAGATGGCGATCTAGACCTGGCGTCAGCTTACTCGAACACCATTGCGTGGTACGAGAACAACGACGGAGCCGGGAGTTTCGGGCCGCAGCAAGTGGTGAGCACGGCAGCACAGGGTGCAGCGTCTGTGATTGCAGCTGACGTAGATGGAGATGGGGATCTAGACCTGGCGTCGGCGTCGGCCTCTGACCACAAGATTGCGTGGTACGAGAACACCGACGGGGCTGGGGCCTTTGGGCCGCAGCAAGTGGTGAGTACGGCTGCGGACGGTGCGCGGTCTGTAGTTGCGGCTGACATAGATGGAGATGGGGATCTGGACCTGGCATCGGCGTCGGTCTCTGACAACAAGATTGCGTGGTACGAGAACATCGACGGGGCTGGGGCCTTTGGGCCGCAGCAAGTGGCGAGTGCGGCAGCACAGGGTGCAGCGTCTGTGATTGCAGCTGACGTAGATGGAGATGGCGATCTAGACCTGGCGTCGGCGTCGTCCGTTGACAACAAGATTGCGTGGTACGAGAACACCGACGGAGCCGGGAGTTTCGGGCCGCAGCAAGTGGTGAGTACGGCTGCGGACGGTGCGTGGTCTGTAGTTGCGGCTGACATAGATGGAGATGGAGATCTGGACCTGGCATCGGCGTCGATATCTGACAACAAGATTGCGTGGTACGAGAACATCGACGGAGCCGGGAGTTTCGAGCCGCAGCAAGTGGTGAGTACGGCAGCGTATAGGGCGCAGTCTGTAATTGCGGCTGACATTGATGGAGATGGCGATCTGGACCTGGCGTCAGCTTACTCGAGCACCATTGCGTGGTATCCGCGACGTACTCGTAACGCGTTCTCTCCACTTCCCGACCCCCGTATTGTCCCTTACTCGCCCACCATGCCCGACTGCCTCACAGCCACCAGCTGTCTCCTTGCCAACTTGCAGCGCTTGTCTTTGTGCGTGCAAGACACACTGCTCTTGCCACCGGGCACCTTTGCATTTCGTCGTAGAGGCTCTTACTTTACGATGTCGAGACCCGCCACCATCGCGGCGTCCGTCCCGGGCACTGTTGTGCTGAACGCGACGGCCGCCCGCGTACGTGGTGGCGTGCTGTTCAATGTCCAGCCACCGCCCAGCATGCTTCCGCCGGCCACATTGAGTCTCGTCAACATCACGATCCTGAACATGGGCTCAGGCTCCGACTCTATCGTGGCAGCTCAAGGCCTCCGGGTCACTGGATCCGGTGCCGTGCTGGAGCTTGAGAACTGCGTCATCAAGTCGTCCACCGCCGACACAGCCATCACTCGATTTTTGGTCAACCCGGGCCTGGGCGGCGCCATCGCTGTTACCAACGGTGGCACCCTGCTCGCCCGCAACACCACCTTTGAGCACTGCTCCGCGTCGATTACAGGCGGTGCTATTGTTGTCGACTTTGAAGACTCGATTGCCCGCATTTCCGGTGGTGCCCTGATCGACAACTCGGCTGCCACGCACGGTGGCGCTATTGCAGTCATCAACGGTGGTCGTCTCGAGCTCGACGGAGTCCGCTTCGAGTCCAACGTCGCCGAGCTGGGAAGCGGGGGCGCCATCTACACCGATGCCAGTGCCCATGTAACCATCAACGACGCGGTGGTCATCAACAACGTCGCCACGCTGGGTGGAGGTGTCTTTGTGTCGCCGGCCACTTCCCTTTTCGTTTCACGCGCCACCCTCTATCACAACTCGGCGCGCGACAGTGGTGGTGGCATTTATGTGAGTCGGTCAGGTAGGCTCACCGCCATGTCCACCACGCTGAACGCCAACTCTGCCGCCAATTTCGGCGGCGGCATTGCCCTCCGTCCTAGCGATAACGTCACCCTCGACGACTGCACCCTGTCTGCCAACACCGCGGCCATCGGAGGAGCCATTGCCATACTGGCCGAAAACCACAACATCGATGCAATCAGCTCGACTTCTCACCTTCGTGTGAGCACAGTTGATCCGCATCCCCTCGCCCCTACCGCCATTTTGACCAACACAGTCCTGAGTGGCAACCACGCAAACCGCGGCGGTGGCATCTACGCCTGCGATGGGCTCCTCTCGATCGCGGGGCCGCACACCGTCTGGACTCGCAACACGGCCACTGTCTCTGGCGGCAAGGATACAACGTCAAGAGACGCTTTTCTTTGTCTCCCGGCGCCTCCGTTTGGGTTCCTCTTCGACCGCGCCAGCACGTCTGGCATCCCGTGGCTCTCGTTTGACTCGGTTGCCTTTGCACAACTGTCGTCGGCTGCCATCGCCACGCCCCCGGCCGAACTCGAAGCGGTTGTCACTCCACCAGCCACGCTCCCCGTGGGCGAGCCACTGTTCGGCACTGTCGCCCTCCGCGACGCCTTCTTTAATCGCGTCACGTATCTTGATGTTCTGGTCCGTCCCTCGATCGACACGACGCCGAATCTTGCTGATCCTCTCGTCCCCGATGACTTTTTTCGAACAGCGAGGCCGAGTTCAGCAGCTCACCGCTCAGTGCCCTCAACGCAACAAGCGAGCTGCCAGTTATCTCGTGGACGGTCAGCATCCCAGCACCATCGACGGCGTTTCACATCGAACCTTTGTCAGGCAGGACGGCCCTTGTTCCGGCAGATTGTGACCCGGGGACCTACCAGGCGACCGGCGGTATTTGCATCACATGCTCAACCGCCGAGTTCTCCACCGTTGTCAACGCTGCCAACTGCACACGCTGCCCAATCCGCACCACATCGCCTGTCGGCTCCGCCAGCCTTGAGGCCTGCACCTGTGTTGTCGATTCCTACGCCCTCTCTCACCCTGTCTCGCCTGAGATTGGTTGCGTGGTGTGTCCGTCGGGCGCGATCTGCGCTGGTGCAACCTCTCTTCCGCGCCCGGCACCTGGGTTTTACTCGTCGTCGTCGCCGATCGAGTTCATCGCGTGTGACAAGTCTCCGACGGAGGCCGTGCGCCGTTGTCTCGGCGACGACACGTGTGTGTCCGGTCGAAGTGGCCGTCTCTGCTCGCACTGCGCAGCGCAGCACTACGCAGTCTCCAACGGCGAGTGCAAGGTCTGCCCGGCAATGACCGGTCCGGCCCCAGTTGTGATCACCACCCTCATCCTGCTTGGAGTTGCCCTGCTCCTTTTTCTCATCCTACTCCAGCGAAGGACGGCGTCCTCCGCTTCCATGCTCATCTCCGCGCAGTCCTACGGCGCGCTGACCGGCACCGAGCCATGTCACATGCTCCGACAGACGCTGCGGTGGGCCCGGGTGCTTTGGCAGGAGATCTCGCTGGCGATGCTGGAGATTGGCCTGCTCCTCGCGCTTGCGCTGCTCGGTCTCCGTGAAACATTCGAGTTTGTAGTTCTCGGCCTCGGCCTCTCGGCCTTGATCACCTACCTTGTTGTGGATCGCGTCCGTGCTGTCCACACGTCCTCAGCCTCGCGGCGCCGCAAGAGCGCTCTCGCGCTCTCCGTTCCACTCGACGATGTAGCGGGGTATGCTCTTTACCGCTCGTCATCGTCATCATCATCGTCGTTGTCGAACGGGGGCGAGCCAGGTACGGCTCTTGCCGCGAGCACAGTTGTGGCCCAACCTGAGTCGGGAGATGAGATGCACTTTTTGAGGCGGTTGTCAAGACACTGGTGGTCCACTTGCAGACACTGGCTGCGCTGGTGGGTGTCTACGATCAGGTCCAGTGGACCAAGTCGATGGAGCTTGTCGCCTCGCTAGTCTCGCGGGCGACACTGCAGGTGACCGGCCTCGAGTGCAACGGCATCGGTTTTGCAGGGGAGTACTATCTCTTCTTATTTCTTCTGCCCATGCTTCTTGTGGCGCTAGTTGTCGCTGCTGTTGCCGTCCGGATCCTCCTCGCGTCGACCGGAAGCACCAGTCAGAGTGCCGTTGTGGCCAGCACGGCGCAGTCCTGGCGGGTGCGTGCACTGGTGACAGCGACGGGCAAGTACGCGCTCATCACGTTCTACTTTTTCGTCTTTCCCATCGCATCCAAATCGCTGGCCATGTTTGCATGCGTTCCCGAGAATGTCACCCGTCCGCGTGCGTCGTATCTCGCCTCTGCGCCGTGGATAGTGTGCTGGCGCGAGCGCCATGTCCAGCTCGCAGTGGTTGCTGCATGCGTGCTCGCAATGATGGCGGGCGCATCGATTGTAGTTGCGGCTCGAATGCGGCAGGCCATCGCCGACAGAGGAGTTGCCTCGACTTGCACCTTCCTCTACGCCGGCTTTACCGCAAAGGCGTGGTGGTTTGAGGGCGTGGTGCTCGGGCGGCGACTGGCTGTTGCAGTGTTTGCTTCCATCCTGCCGCGCAGCTCGGTCTTTGTTGGGCCGATGCTTCAGTGCGTGCTGCTGGCATACTTGCTGGCCTTGCTTCTTGTCCGGCCATACCGTTCCCGGCTTGCGCTGCAGCTGGAGATGGGAGCAGCGGCGATGGCTCTCGTATCGCTCATGCTAGTGTCGAGCATGGCCGAAACGGGCGAGACGGCATCATTGGCGCTGATGACGCTCATGTTTATTGCCGGCAACGGATGTGTAGTCCTTGCTGGTGCCGCCGCGCTCTTCATGCCCATCATCCAAGCCTTCCGCATGATGTAAATGGATACCCATGTTGGTCATCACAGCCGCAATGAGCGAGGAGGGCTTTGGCAGTTGGGCTGAGCCGTCTCCTGCGCCACTCGCTCCACCCAACCACCCAGATTGGGTACACTCGACTCGAGCTGACCGACCATGGCAGGTGTGAGCACGACGTGTCCGAAGGTCCTGTTTGTGTGCCTGGGCAACATCTGCCGGTCGCCGCTGGCACAGGGAGTCATGGAGGCCGTGGCCCGTGAGGCCGAGGTTGAGCTGGTGGTCGACTCTGCCGGAACTGGGGCATACCATGTGGGGGAGGCACCCGATCCGCGTGGACAGGCGACGGCGAAGCGGCATGGGCTGGATACCTCGGGCCAGCGGGCGCGGCAGGCGACCAAGGCTGATTTTGATGACTTTGATCTCGTTGTGGCCATGGATCGCGACAACTACGCCCATCTCCGCCGACTCGCATCGGCCGACATGGTTAAGGCCAAGCTCCGCACCTTTATGTCGTATGTGCCTGAGGATGGCCGCAAGGACGTCCCAGACTGCTGGTACGCCGACGATCCGGAGGAGTCGTTCGAGGATGTGTACTCGGTCTTTGTCCTCGGCTGCCCACGCATCCTGGACGAGCTCCTTGCCTCCCGTGCATCGTCGTGACCGCCAGCAGTCCGAATCGGATAAACCGGTAGTGTGAGCGCAAAGGGTAGGATTCTGTAGTGCGGTCAATACCCAGGCTCCATCGGGGGGATTTCCTGATGTGTGTCGTGCTGGACCTCATGGCTGCTCCTCGTTGTCTTCACCCTCTCCAGCCACTATCTTTGCATTTTGATCGGCGATCAAGCCTCTGTGGCAGCTAACCCTCCACTCCCTCCCCAACCCGACCCATCTGGCACTCATCGGCTTCATCCTTCCACTCTCCACCAGATCCATACCCACACCCAACCCTCACCGACCCCCATCTCCAACTCGCTACCTCTACTCCTCCCTCTGATGTCGGGAAAGAGGCCACAACGTGCCCACCACCGGCGACAGGCGACGCTTCACGAATGCGACTCGATCGACCGAGTCAGAGGGGTAGAGAGGAAGGGGGGGGGGGGGCACCGCGGGTAAGACCGACAGACTCGACTTGTAGACGCATCACCTCGTGAGAGAGAGAAAGAGTGGTGCAGTGGACGTAGACTGGTGATCTTGTTCTGGACTTGTCTATCTTGTGTGCTGAGAGATGTTTCGTCTGGTCCTTGCTCGGCTGGCGCCACGACTGGCGGCGGTGGTCACGGTATGTGAGGGAGAGGGGGGGGAGGGGGGGGGATCGATCGAAATAGACGGAACCACTCACTCACTGCTCCCATCTTCATCTTGCGTACACTTGCACCCGAATCCCACTCGGTCACCACCCGAATCCCACTCGGTCACCACCCGAATCCCACTCGGTCACCACCCGAATCCCACTCGGTCAGAAGACAACCAAGACGAAGAGAGCGGCAGCTGCGGCTGCGGCTGCGGCAGCTGCGGCGGGATCGACGGCGGTGGTGGCAGCGTGGTGCTCGGGTGAGACCGAGACACCGCCGCCGGGCTCATCGGGCTCGTCGGGCTCGTCGGGCTCATCAGGCTCGTCGCCATCGGCTGAGACGGTGGTGGTCGGCATTGATCTGGGGACGACCAACTCGTGCGTGGCGGTGTGGCGCGGCGGCAAGGTTGAGGTCATTCCAAACGAGGCTGGCGGGCGGACGACGCCGTCGGTTGTGGCCTTCACCGACAGCGAGCGCCTGGTGGGCGCCGAGGCTGTGGCACAGGCGCCGCGGAATCCGGCCAACACCGTGTACGACGCCAAGCGGCTGATCGGGCGGGCGTATACCGACGCGGTGATCCAGGACGACTTGGCGACGTGGTCGTTTGCGGTCAAGGCCGGACGCGATGGTGTTCCGCTCATCTGTGTCGACTACCTCGGCAAGCCGCGCGAGTTTACGGCGCAGGAGATCTCGGCCATGGTCCTTGCACGGATGAAGGAGATTGCCGAGGCGTATCTCGGCCACGAGGTGGTGCGGGCGGTGGTCACCGTGCCGGCGTACTTTAACGACGCGCAGCGCAAGGCGACCGCGGACGCCGGCACCATTGCCGGGCTCACCGTCGAGCGGATCATCAACGAGCCGACGGCGGCGGCGCTGGCATACGGCCTCGATGCCGCCACACCGGCAGGCGACGCCGAGAACCACGTCCTGGTCTTTGACCTTGGCGGCGGCACCTTTGATGTCACGCTCCTCACGATCGACAATGGGCTGTTCGAGGTCAAGGCGACGGCCGGCAACACTCATCTCGGCGGCGAGGACTTTGACAACAAGCTCGTCGACTTTCTGGCTTCTGAGTTTGAGCGCAAGTACTCGCGGAGCGTCCGCGGCAACGCCAAGGCAATGCGGCGGCTGCGGGTGGCGGCCGAACGGGCCAAGCGGACGCTTTCGTCGGCGAACCGCGCGGCAATCGAGATCGACTCGCTCGTCGACGGCATCGATTTTGACACTTCGATCACCCGCGCGCGGTTCGAGGATCTCTGCGGCCAGCTCTTCCGCGAGTGCCTCGAGCCGGTGGCGCGGGTCCTCGACGACGCCGGCGTGGCCAAGTCGGCCGTCCGCGACATTGTGCTCGTCGGCGGCTCGACGCGGGTGCCCAAGATCCAGGCCCTGCTCTCGTCGTACTTTGGCGGCAAGGAGCTGTGCAAGTCGATCAATCCCGATGAGGCCGTCGCCTACGGCGCTGCAGTCCAGGGCGCCATCCTCGCAGGCGTCCGCGACTCGAAGCTCGGCGACATTCTGCTTGTCGACGTCACGCCGCTCTCGCTCGGCCTCGAGACCGCCGGCGGCATCATGACCGTCCTCGTCCCGCGCAACACTCCGGTGCCGACCCGGGTGGAGAAGACGTTCACCACCCACGCACCGCGGCAGACCTCGGTCACCATCAACGTGTTTGAGGGCGAGCGCGCGCTGGTCGCCGACAACCACCCGCTCGGCTCGTTCTCGCTCTCGGGTATTGCCCCGGCGCCGGCCGGCGCGCCACAAATCGACGTCCGCTTTGCCGTCGACGCCTCGGGCATCCTCTCGGTCCGCGCCCTCGATCGCGCCACCTCGGCCGAGGAGACCATCACCATTGACGCACACTCACGCGGCGCACTCTCACCCGACGAGCTCGAGCGCATGGTCGCCGAGGCTGCGCAGTTTGCAGCCGCCGACGCCGCCGCCCGCGAGCGCGTTGCCGCCCGCAACGCTGTCGAGCGCTACGCCTTTGACACCAAGGACCGCCTCTCGGCGGCTGCCGGCGCTGACGGCGTCGGCGAGGCCCTTGTCGCCGTCGACAACACCCTCTCGTGGCTTGACGCCAACTCGGCCGCCGAGGTCGACGAGGTCGAGGCCAAGGCCGACGAGCTCCGCACTGTGGTTGAGCCTGTCCTCCGCAAGATCAACGAGAACGACAGCGGCAGCGAGAGCAACGCCAGCGACGAGTAAAGTCAAGCACCATGGCTGCAACGATGTTCATTGTGTGCATCCTCTCAAAAAAACGCCAGCCTTACGCGTAGTTGTTCGAGCGATCGTAGGTGGTGCCCGAGGCGCCGCCGGCAGTGTACTGGTTCTCGGCCTGGACAGTCTCCTTGGTCGGGTAGTAGGCCGGGAGCGAGGAGCCGGACGAGTGCTTCTTGATCATGAAGAAGGCAGCGGCGATGGCGATGGCGGCAAAGACGGCGACACCAATGATGATGCCGATGACAAGGCCGGCGGTCTCACCGGCCGAGCGGCCGGACGGCGACGAAGTCGTCGCGCCAGGCAGCGGCTGGCCGCCCTCCTTGAACTCATACTCGGTCGGGTCGTTCCCGAGCTTGAGCTCGACAAGGGTGAGGTCGAGGTCGTCAAGCTTCTCGTCGTCCTGCAGGAACATGTTGCGGAGCTTGAGGATCTCCGGCTCGGGCGACGAGCCATCCTGCGCCGCCGTAATGGAAAAGTAGACGCGCGAGTTGCCCTTGGAGCGCAACTCTTCCGACCGGTCGTAGAGGATGCGCGAGGTCGGGAGACCGAGCACAAAGGCAATGTTAGCCGTAAAGGTGTTCTGGTTGACGTTGAGGCCCTTGACCTCGAGCTCGACCGTGATCGGCGCCGGCGCCTCCTCGCAGGTGATGCCGTCGCCGATGTAGCCGACACGGCAGGCGCACGTCCGGGTGCCGCCAGTTTGCGCCGGCGTGCACGTCGCGTTGGCGTGGCACCCACCGTTGGCGGTCTGCAGGCACGGGTTGTTGGCCGGCGGCGCCGTGATGGTGACCCACGCGCAGTCGTACCAGCTGGCGCCACTAGTCGGCGTCCAGTGGAACTGGAGCGCCGCCGTGGCATCCGCCGAGAGGTTAAAGTCCGGCACCACAAACGACGCCGACTGCGCCGTCGAGACGGTCACGTCCATCAGAGCTTTCGAGATGACCTCGATGATGTCGTCGCCGTTCGCCTCAAAGTCGGCGGGCTGCGGGTTGGTCTTGCCGCCAGCAGGAAGCGAGAGAGTAAAGTCGACTGCGTTGCTCGTGTCTCCATGGTTGTTCGCCCGCTTGTACTGAACCACCACCGTCTGTCCGGTCGTCCACGTCGCCACTGGGGTGACAGAGCCAGCCTTACCACACGGGCCCGACGTCGATGCGTTGCCCGAGCCCTGTCCGCCACCGGACCGCGGGACCGGGTCCATCATCCACCCGTGGCCATTGGCCATGCCAATAACGTAGTTGAGCAGCACCACACAGAGAAGAACTCGTGCTCCAATCTGTACACATCCGCAAGGTTTCCATGTGAGTGTGTGTGTGCGTGGGGGGGGCATGTGTGTCGGCCCTCGGTCCGTCTCGGACCAGAAAATTGCTCCGAACACCCCCCAATGGCCACCTCCTCCGCCATCACCCGCCGCACCCCATGAGCCCGGCCGGTCGCTACAAAGCAAGTATTGACATGCTTGGAAGCTTAAAGGTGGGGAAAGCACTCGAGAATACCATAGTGCAGGTTGGAGGGTACTTTGTGGACGTGCATGCACATAGTGACAGGCCAAAGGGAAGGCGGAGGGGAGGGAAGGTTGCAGGGTGGCGGCACGCGTGTGGCTTGGGAAAAGGGGGGAAACAGAACCGAACCGTCGTATGGGTAAACAATAAATTCAAGGGAGAGCATTGATTAAAAGCAGGGCGAGTGGCGGCGGGAAGTGGTCGGTCGGTTGGCTGGCGGCTTCTTCTTCGCCAGCCACCAAAAAACCAGCCCAACCGCCCGCCGCAGCAGACGAACATGGGCCATGCGCTGTGCATAGAGGGGGGCTGTGGGCAAGGTAGAAAGAGACAGAAGACATCATGGTATGTGTCGGTATGTGTAGAGTGGTTACGTACCATGCTGAAAAAAAAGAGAGAGAAGAGAATGACCTTGCCCTTGCCCTTGACTCCTCCTGTCCGTCACCTCGGACTTGGCAACCATTTCCCCCTCGACCACCTACAATTCACGTGCCTCCCCGAAAGTGGCGAACAGCAGCGGCCCAAAGCGCTGCGATCGTCTCCTCCGCCGCCAGCCGCCAGCCGCCAGCCACTGCCGTCCGCCAGCCAGCCGCCAGCCACTGCCAGCCGCCAGCCACTGCCAGCCATTGCTGCCAGCCGGGATGAGTGACTGGAAATTGGACCAGGGCAATTGAAATGCATCATATCATTGATAGAGAAAATGATTGGCAAGCAGGTCAGAGGGGATGGACAGCCCAGCCCGACCCAATGTCGGGTCGTCGTCGTCAACCTTGCCACTTCCAACCAAAGCGCGCACGAGCGAACGAGAGCCACGGGCAAGCGGCAACTACGACAGCTCCTCTCGCCCACGCGTGCCCACGGTACGCACCCCGTTCTCCCCCCCCTACCCTCCCCCCTCCCACTTCCCCTGCCCCCCCACCCCCACCTACCTTGTCACTCCCCCTTCCTCCCCCCTCCCGCACCCCTTCGCCCCCGCCCCCGTCCCACACCACCAAAGGGAGGATGACCACCTCACCCCTCCCTCCTCCCCTCCCCCCCCTACCCTCCCCACAGGCCGCAATGGCGGACCTCGCACCCGAATTGGTGGCTGCTGTGCGTATTCTTGGAGAAGGCAAGCAGGTGATGGCAACGACAGAGCTGGTGGCGGCCGTGTCGGCGGCTACGGCTCAGCCAGGGGGGAAGACCTTGTCAAAGTCGCGGGCGGCGTCGTTGTTGGAACGCTTGCTCAGCAATCACCTTGGAGAGTACAAGGCTCATGCGCTGGTGTGCCAGGCCGAGATTCCCGCTACCGGCGAGGCGGGCTGGAAGGCAAACTCAGACTCGCCGCTCCTCGTCCATCTCGCCTCCAAAAACGGCTCATCTTCCGCCACCGCCGCGGCTTCCTCGTCCTCGTCCAAGGCTTCCGGGGCCGGATCTGCAAAGTCTGCGTCAGCAAGCTCACGGTCAAAAAGCAAGGCAACAAGTGGCGGAGCTGGAGCAAGCTCGGCGGCTGGCGTCGCGAGCAAGGCCAATGCCAAGGCCAAGGCCAAGACCAAGACCAAGACCAAGACCAAGACCAAGACCAAGACCAAGGCCAAGGCCAAGAGCTCGAGCAAGCAGAGTGAGAGCGCGAGCAACAGCGCCGCCGCCGCCAAGAAAAAGGCCAAGAGCGGCACAGGGCAAAGGCTCTGTCCCACGCGAGCGGCTAGCCAAGTTTCCGATGTTTGTGCGGTCGACATACTGCATACTGCTGGAGATCTCGCACCACGCCGAGGCATGCAAGCCGGTGCGGTTCAAGGATCTGTTTGCGGCGGTGATGGACCACAATCCGCCGCTTGTAGTGACCAAGTCGAAGACGCCCGAGTCGTCGATGTCGCGCGATATCAACGCGCACGTCCGGCTCTACGGCTCGGCTGGGCTGTTTGTCAAGCGGACAGTGTCGGGCGACGTAATGTGGCAGCTGAATCCGGACCGCGAGGCGCGCAATGCGCTCGAGGGCAAGCTCCGCATCTCCATGCACGACATTTACTCCAAGCTCAACGTCTCGCCCGAGGCTCAGGCTGAGGCCGAGGCCACCGGCGGCTCGCCGGCGTTTGCGCCGTGGACGGCCGACGTCATGGAGCCGCTCGCGCCGCGACCATCGGGCGGCGAGGCGCGCAGCAAGGCTAAGGGTCGCGGGCGCAGCAAGGGCAAGGGCAAACCTGGCCCCAAGGCGCGCAAGGCGCGCTCAATCTCGGGCTCGGGCTCTGGTTCGTCCTCGCCGGGCCTCGCCATTCCGCTCTCGGTGCCGGACTTTGACCGGCTGGCGTCGTCCGAAGCGGCTAAGGCCATCTTTGCCGCGCTGGCGCCGCCGCCGCCGCCGTCGCCAGCGCCGATGTCGTATGGTCGCGAGCTCATTCCGCCGCACGCGACCGCGGCGCATCACCGGGTCCTCGGCGGGCCTCACCACCCGGGCCCGGCGCCCGGCCACGCCCAAGTCCCGACGGCCGTCGTCCCGACGGCCGGCGAGCACACGCTTGGCGTCGCCGGCGGGCCGCAGGGCCTCACGCATGACGAGCTCGAGGCCCGCAAGCGGTCGTCGTCGCCGCAGGTTATGCGTGTCGCCTCGCCGCCGATGGCGCTCCAAGACGCGGACATGGAAATCGTCCGCTTTGCCATCCCCGAGTCATCGTCGCCCGACCCGCTGCTGGGCAAGGCCGGCTCTGCCGTGGGCCGCGGCGTGCACCCGGGCCCACACTTTGCCGCCCCGCGCCACCACCTCACCGTCCCTGGTGCCCACGCCGACGACGCCCTCGTCGACTCACTCTCGGGCGACGCGTCGGCTGCACGCAAGCGCCCACGCGTCGACACCGACTCGGCCCCCTTCACCTTTCAATACGGCGAGCCGCCAGGCGGAACCGACGGTCTCAACTCGCCGCTCGACTACATCGTCTCTGAAGGCATGGGCGCCCCACCGCCGTTCTCCGTCCCCGGCCCGTCGCTCGGCGGCCCGCCGTCCTGCCTCGGCGAGCTCGCTTCGCTCGCCATGCTCCACGTCCACGCCCGCAAGCGCTCCCGGGGCCTTGACTCGACATCATGACCCCCCCCCCCCAACACCACCTTCCCCACCTCACCCCTCCACCCTCCACCCCCACCCACATGGACAGCCTCCCACCCGAGCTTGTCCACCATATCCTCAAGTTTGTGCCACTTCCGACGCTTGGGGCGGCAGCGGCAGTCTGCTCGACCTGGGCGACTCTGGCCACCTCGCCAGCTCAGCTGGCCGTTCTCGACACATCGCGGTTGCGGCACGTGTTGCAGGAGCAGCTGCTGGCGCTCATCGGCCGCGCCGGACACAACCTCGCTGCTCTTCGCTTTGTTCTTTATTCACCGCAGGCATCCGGCTCGTATCTCAAGCTCCACGGCCTCGCCGACCTGCTGGCCGCACATCATGCCGGCACAGCGGTCGATCGCCCGAGGCTGCCCAAACTCGAGATGCTCGGCGGTGCACTCCCGGCGGATGTTCTACCGCTGCTGGCCAAACATGCGCCGCGGCTGCGGGTGCTAGCGCTGAGATCGTGGCGCGATGCAGAGCTGGCGAACGTGGTGGCGAGCAGCGGGCAGCTGCTCGCCCGGCTCACCGTCCTCCACCTGGCTCATGTCCCGGTCTCCGACGCGACGTTGATGGCGCTCGCAGACGCACTCGATGGTGGCCCACTGGAGGAGCTCGCCATCGACGGTACGTTTGGTGATGCGGCACTCAGTCAGCTGCTGGCCTGCCTCCCGCGTCTCGGTACCCTCGCGCTCAACAAGACGTCGCGACTCTCCGAGCTCGGGCTCGGCGAGGCGCTGGCTGGCGCCTCCGGCCATCTCACCGCTCTCTTCTGTAACCAGGCTGCGCTCAAGGCTCCACAATGGGAGGCGGCGTCGCTGGACGAGCCGCCACCGGTTGCGCTCAGCGTCCTCGGCCAGCTGTTTGAGCACAAGTCCGAGCCGCGGCACCCGTTCCCACCACCATTTGCGCGGATGTACTCGCCGGGCCCGCTCTTCACCGCACTCCTCTGGCCGTCGCTCACCCACATCGCGTGCGACTCGATGGTGCTTTCGCCGCAGATTGCGGTCCACTTTACGGGCCTGGCTCGCTCCGGGTGCTCGAGGCGACAGACCTTGCACTCGCGGCGCTGCTCTTTTCTTCGTGGAAGACCATCGAGGAGATCGTCGTCTGGGGCGCGCCCGTCTCGATTGCTGCGCTTGCCGCCGTCCTGAGCGATGCACTGGCAAGCGAGCCAGCCAGCCGCTCTCCGCCGCTAGCGGATCTCGTCCTGCCTGCATCCGTCGCTGCCGTTGACGAGCTTGCTGCGCTGCTGAGCGTTCCTGGCCTTGCCCTGCGCAAGTTGCAGCTCGCCGAGCTTGCGCAGGGTGGCGACGCAGAGTGCCCCGTTCCAGCTAACCTGTCCGACCTCGCCATTGCGCGATACACCCACACCGGCGAGGACGCCGTCCTTGCTGCACTGCTAGCGTCGTGTTCGCTGGAGCGGGCCAAGTTTGGGCGGCTGGCGTCACCCGTTTCGGCCGCCCGAGTTCTGGCGTGTCTGAATGGTTGCCCGAGCCAAGCGCTCAAGCTGGTGGAGCTCCACTTGACCGGCCCAAGTCCCGATGACCTCGAGCTGACGTGCCTGGGGCAGGTGCAGGATGCGCAGTTGAGCTGGCAGTCAGGAAGTGCATTGCAGCTTGTGGCGCGGATGCCGCAGCTGCGATTCCTCTCACTCTCGGGCGTGCTCGGCAGCCTTCCTGAGCTGCTGAGCTGCACGCCATACCTGGCATCACTGCTGTTGGAGAGCAGCGAGTGGGAGATGGGCGAGGCGGCCAGCAATGTGTGCCTCAGCGAGCTCCACACACTCCAACTCAAGAAGACCCGATCGCCGGGAAGCGAAGCCGAGCTGGACGCGATGCTTGCGCTCTTTCCGCGGCTGCGGCGGCTGCGGCTGAGCCGGACACCGATTGACGGCGCAAGCACGAGTGCTGTCGGAGGTGGTATCAATCTTCTTTACGCGCACCAGCGAGCGTGATCAGTGCGCGGGAGCGCCAGAGCCAGCGCGAGGGCGTTCAGTGCGCCGCGGGGTTCAAAAAGGCAGAGCGGCCGATGGTTCGGAGGGCGAGCATTTCGGCGGCGTCGCGGTCGTCGCGGAGGCTTCGGCGGTTTGCGTCTCCGCCGCCGGCGATGCTCTCCTGCTGCATGGTGACGCGAACAAAGGCGTCGAGCTTGTCGGCGAGGCGGACAAAGCGGCAGTAGCCGGACTGGAACGCCGCATCGGACGACATGCTCCGCTGCAGGAGCCGAAGCCAGGCGATGAGTTCCAGTCTCGCAGCGCTGTACTCGCCGGCCTGGGCAAGGGAAGCGGCGGCATGGAGGGCGTGGATGCCTGTGATGGCCGACGAGACGTTGCGCTCCGAGACGCTGCGGTCCTCGGTGACCGCCACCTTGCGCGAGACGACGCGGAGCATGGTGGCGCCGTCGGCGCGCTGGTAGGTGATCTGGGCCTGAACGACGGCCGAGGCCGGCGGAGGCGCACCACATTCCTTGGTCCGGCTCGGTGAGGCGACGAACTCGAACGAGAGCTCGGTGTCTGCGGTGACGTTGCCGACGTCGACCTCCCACCAGCCGCCAAGCTGGTCTGCGGTGACAGGCTCGATGCCTGTACCAGCAACGAGAGCCATGCCAGCCGGGGCGTGGATGCGGAGCGAAGCCTTGATGGCGGCAACGGCGGTGGCCTCGACGACGGCAGCCATGTTGGTGCCGAGCGCAAGCGGATCGAGGAGCTCGACCCGGCCGCCGGTGGCGACGGTGACCGCGCCTAGGGCCTCGAGCTCGCACTCGTCGTCGGCGATGGAGAGGACTGAGACGGTGACACCGGCGGCGGCAGCGCGACCGGCGAGCGCGGCATACGTTGCTTCCGCCGCAGCGTTTGTCCCGCCGTCGAGCGAACCGATGCCGATGTTGGCGCAGCCGTCGGTGCAGAGGACGATGCGCGAGCCGGGCGCAGCCTCGCACATGCCGACGGCGACGGCGAGTGCCGGGCCGAGCGCGGTGCCACCGGACTCGGTCAGGCCGTGGACATAGGTGGCGAGATCGCCAGCGGCAGCCGAAAGCGGCGCGGCAGTGGCGGTGGCCATCTTGCGGCCGCGGGCAAGGAGCGCGTCGGTCTCGCCGAGCAGATCGCCGGCGAGCGTGACCGGGGCGTCGAGGGTGGAGCCGTCGCCGTAGACGACAACGTCCGAGGCAAATGAGACGAGTCCTGCGCGCGAGGCCGGGTCGGCGGTAGCGGCGGCGCGGATCTGGGCCTCGACCGCGACCTGGAGTGCGGCTAGGCGCGAGATGTAGAGCTCGCCGTTGGACGCGCCGCCACGAGCCATGCCGTGGGCAAGCTCGCCGAGCTCGGCCAGCAGTGCTTCGTGCTTGCGGCGCTCAGCGTCATGGAAGAGCCGAGCAATGTGGGCAGGCAGTGCCGAGAGCTGCACCGGCGACGCAACGCACATCGAGCCACTGACGTCGAGGACAAATATGGTTCGTGGGGCAACAGCGTCGTCGATGGTGGCGGTAGCGTCAGCGCCGGGCGCCACCATGAACTCGACGGTCTCGCCGTCGGGGATCTCCTCGGGGTACACCTCTGTCTCGTTAATCTGGCCGCAGAACTCACACGTCCACACAACGACGTCGTCGTCGTCAGACTCGTCGCCGCGCTCAAGCTGCGAGTAGAGGTTGAGCGAGCTCGAGCAATCGGTGCAACGGACAGGCTCACCGGTCATGGCGGCGCAGGCGAGGTTGGGCAAGGCTGCAGCGGTGGATGCGGCAGCAGCGCCGGCGGCAGAGCCGTCGAGACTGCCGAGCGGAAAGTTAGTCGGCTCGAGGAGCGAGGCCAGGGCAAGGGTGACGACGTTGGCGTTGGCGACGCGGACCGGCTCACCCTCGGGCTCGTCAGCCGGCGCGTCCGCGGGCTCGTCTGCAGAAGCAGCATTCGGCAGGCCAGGAGGCTGGTCCTCGGTTGACTGAACGGACGCGACTGGTGGGAGCGACGGTGGCAGCGGAGGCACAGGCGGCGCGGCGAGCTCGATGGAGACGTGCGCGTCAGCGATGGCTTCGTCGGCGTAGCGCTGGGCCGAATCAGGCGAGGTAGGCGCGGCGGCAGGCGTGTCGAGCGGAGCCTTGAGGGAGAGGATGCCACGCTTACTTTGGGCCTCATCGCCGACGTAGGAATCTTTCTGACCCATGCCAACCATGACGCCCTGATGGCGTGGACGGCCGACGAGGGCGGGGAAGACCGAGCTCGGCGAGTCGTTGCCGGCAAAGCCAGCCTTGACCATGGCGCCACCGACGTCAAAGACGATGACGTTGTCCAAGTTGGAGAAGCGGGGCGCATAGCATGGAGCGGGCGAGGTGGAGATGCCGAGACCTGTGGAGGCCGCTACATCGTCTGCGGTGGGGAAGAGTGCGGCGCGGGCGGCAGGCGAGAGTGATCGGATCGAGTCGCCAAAGAGGGAGGCGTCGGTAGCGAGAGAGTTGGCGTCGGCGCGGAGACGAGCGTCGGCCAAGGCACGCATCCGCTTGAGCAGTTTCTTGTTGCGGCACTGGCGATAGCCCATGGCGTTGACGAGCGAGAGCAGCTCGCCGCCCATGATGGGCGCCTCCGGGTTGGTCTTGGCCTCGGCCACCCAGACCTCGACTTGCTCCTTGACCGAGAACGCAAGCCCATCCTCGAGCTCCGAGGTCAGGACCCGCTCCTCGCATGGGCGGCCGATAAACATTGCGTCCGACGCAAACTGCATGGTGGCGATGGGCTGGCGATCGGATGATGCTACACGGTTGGGCGGCTAGCGCGCACTACCCCATGGCGTTTTTGGCCGTTGCTCGAGGGCGTGGAAGCCGGGTTCCACCTGTCCGGCGCGTCCGAAAATCGAGTGTTGGGCGAGGCGAGTTTTATACTTGCCAGTGATGGCGGCATGTGCCCTGCTTGCGGCTACTCGGTGTCCATGTCGGTGGGCTTGGCGCCCTCGGCGGTGGCGCCGGTCTGGGAGAAGGCCGAGGCCGAGGGCGTGGTGGCAGGAGCGGAAGTGAGTGTGGCCGATGCAGGCGCGTCTGCGGGAGGGACGGACAAGCCCATAGCGGCGGCCATGGGAGCCGGAAAGCCGGGCGGGAGGGTGGCACCCGGCGGGACTGCGCCCACGGCCATCATCTGCATGTAGTGCTGCATCTGGGCGGTGATGGACATCTGCATCTGGTAAAAGAGGGCGAGGGCGGCGTTGGTTGAGCCAAAGGCGTTCTGCGGGCCCGCAGCCCAATCGGGGGACGGCATCTCGCCCGAGGTGGCAGGAGCACCAGTAAGGCCGCCTGCGGCCTTGACCTCCTGGGCCTCGATGTAGTGGGCGAGGGCGATGTGTGCGGTGGCGCGGGTAAAGGCGCCGGCATGCTGTAGAACGGCCGACGAGTCGCGCTTGGGTGATGTGGCAGTGGAGATCCAGGGCGGGAGGGCGTTGCGTGCGGCGGCTCTGCGGGCAAACATTTCGTTGTGGTGATGATAGGCGCCGGCGTAGGAGGACGACGGCTTGTTGGCCGGCCACGTGCTCCGCGACTTGATGGCCTTGAGCGTCTCGGGCTCTGCCACGTAGTGACGGACGATGCGGCGCTGGACGGGGCGGCGCTTGCGGACGGGGAAGCGCTTGCGCTTGCGGCCCTGGCTCGAGGGGGCAGCCGAAGCGCGCGCGACCTTTGCTGCGTCGGACTGATGGAAGGCGTGTGTCAGCTGTGCGGCGCGTGCGGCCTGCTCCTGCGAGGCCCAAATGGGCGGAGCCATGAGCGAGGGGAGGGCGGCGGGGACGAGGGAGCATGCGCGGAAGACCCTGTTACCGACGGGGCACACGATGCCCTTGTTGCGGGCGGTGGACATTGGGTGGGGGTGGCGGTGGTGGTGGTGGGGAGAGGTGTGTGGTTGGTGGTGGTGGTGGTGATGTACGCTTGTGTGTGTGTGGTTGATGGTTGGTGGTTGGTTGGTGGTGGTGGTTGGTGGTCATTAACATTAATCGTTGGATATTGATTATGTGTGGGGTGACTGGTGGTTGGTGGTGGTGGTGGGTGGTCATTAACATTAATCGTTGGATATTGATTATGTGTGGGGTGACTGGTGGTTGGTGGTGGTGGTGGGTGGTCATTGACATTAATCGTTGGATATTGATTATGTGTGGGGTGACTGGTGGTGGTTGGTGGTGGTGGCAGGCCATTAACATTAATGGTTACCCGTTGATTATGATTATGCCCTCAGTTGTTCGTCACCACCACCCGCCAGTCACAGTCCAGCAGGTGTCCACCCACCCGTCTCTCTCCACCTGGCTGTGTCTACGAGGATGGATGGCGACAGCAGTCGGGCAGACGGTGCCGGTGTGCATGGAGAGGTAGCCGGCGAGCAGGAGAGGAGGCAGGACAAGGGCAAGGAGAAGGGCAAGGAGAAGGAGAAGGGCAAGGAGAAGGAGAAGGGCAAGAGCAAGGACAGGGGCAAGGGCAAGGGCAAGGGCAAGGACAAGGACAAGGACAAGGACAAAGCCAAGAGCAAGACGGGCGAGAAGGAGAAGGACAAGGGACGGGGGAAGGGCAAGGGAAAGGGCAAGGCTAAGGACAAAGCCAAGGACCGGGCCAAGGCGAGGAACAAGAGCAAGGCCAAGGGCAAGGACAAGGGCAAGGGCAGGGACAAGGCCAAGGCCAAGTCGCGGGAGAAGGACAAGTCCAAGGCCAAGTCGCGGGAGAAGGAGGAGAAGGCGAAAACACGGACAAAGCCAGGAAGAGCCGTTAAGACGGTCAATAGGAGAGTGTTCACCCCTGCGGAGATCGACGAGCTCCGTGGTGCCTTTGAGCTGCTCGACCGCGACGGAAACGGCGAGATCTCGGTGGCCGACCTCGCCTCGGTCATGAAGGACTTGCGTGTCTCCATGTCCAAGTCGAAGATCCAGCGGTACATCGACTCGATGGACTGCACAGGCACCGGCGGCGTCGACTTTCCCGAGTTTATCACCTTTATGGCGTCAACCACCATCTCGCTCGACGACGTGCCCAACGTGCCCGAGCCCATTGTCGACGCCTCACAGCACGACGAGTTGCGCATCTTCTTTGGCGTCCTCGACTCGGGTCAGACCGGCGAAGTCCGTCGTAAGTCGCTTCGCCGCGCTGTCCAGCCGCTCCTCGACTCGCACATGTCCACCCGCGACATTAATCGCATGTTCAAGTTGCTTGAAATCTCCGGCCGCGGCTCCATCTCGTACGATGACTTTACCACCATTGTCGACACGGCCACGCCCGACACCCCCTCGCGCCGCTCGTCGGCCACCCAGGCCTTCCCAGACCACTAGTAAAACAAGCGCATCAGCTGCCGCCGCCGCCGCCACCGAGGGTCGACGTGTGCGAGGTGAGCTGCTGGTTGAGCCCGTCCTCCATGGCCTGCGCGAGGAACGGATGCTCGAGGACAACCGCCGAGTCGGCTGTCTCGGAGCTTGACTGCGAGAGCGTGGTCGACGAGCACGACGACCACGACGGCGCATGGGTCGAGTTCTGCGACGCTGACTCGGATTGCGACGGCGTCTGCGAGCGCGAGCGCGAGCGCGAGCGCGGCTGCGGCGCCTTTGGCGTGTACGGCTTGGCTGCCAGCGCCGCCGCCATGTCGAACGAGGTCGAGAGCTTGCGCGCCGCTGCCCGTCGCTCGCCGTCGGCCTGCCGCTGCTGCAGCGCCTGGTTGTACTGCACCATCATGTCCGGCTGCGACGCAACCTTGGTGAGCGAGTACAGGTGCGCGCCGTAGAACTCGTCGTCCTCGGTCACGTACGAGTCGTCGCCCATGGACGAGTCGTCGTAGTACATCGTCGGCGGCTGGAGCATGTAACCGGCCGAGCTGCCGGCGCCGGCCACCGGCCCGCCATGCACCACAACAGGCAGCCCGTTTGAGGCCGACGACTCGCACCCGTCGTACGACACAGCCCGGTAGTCGGGTACGACCGAGAGCGAGACCGCTGCCGCGCCCGACGGCCGCCGTCGCATCGCCCGCCGCAGCGCCACCTTGTGCGACCGCCCGCCGTCGCGCCCCAGCGACGGGTACCGGATGTCCGACTCGGTCGACGACTCTTCGTTGTACACGTATGACGCCGAAAAGTCCGACATGCTCGGCGACACTCGCTCGTCGTCAGTCGGCGGAGCGCGGCGACCGCCACCCGGCGCACTGGCAGCTGCGGCCGTGGCGGTTGCCGATGCAGCTGCCGCCGACGGAGCGCCGTTGCCGGCGGCTTGGGCCATGCCAAACGGGTTCATAAAGTTCATGAACATCATGCCCGGAACGGTGCCGGCCCCCGAGTCAGAGTCCGAGCCTGCGCCAGTGGCGCCGGCCATCATGCCCGGCATCATGCCCGGCATCATGCCCGGCATCATGCCCGGCACCATGCCCGGCACCATGCCCGGCACCATGCCCGCCGACGACGGTGCCGCCATCTGCTGCGCCATCTGCTGCGCCATCTGTTGTTGCATCTGCATCGTCGCAAGCATCGGGTTGGCCATCGGCGCAAAGAGCTGCGGGTACATGCCCATGCCCATGCCCATGCCCAGCATGCCGCCAAACAGCGGGTTCGCCGCAGGCGGAGGCGTGAAGCCCGCCTCAAACTTGGCTCGGGTGATGAACGGGTGGCTCTTGGCCTGGACAGGGCTCCACCGTGTGCCCGGATCTAGGGTGAGGCAGCCCTTGACAAAGTGCACGAACGCGGCGCGCGCCTCGTTCTCGGCTTGCAGCTCCGCACCGGCCAAGCCCTTGGCGTGTGGATACTGCAGGATGATAGTCTCGAGGTCGGTGGCGCCAAAGTACTGCTTGTTGTCGGCCGGCTGAATGCCAGCACCAGCTGCATGCTCGGCAGGCGTCTTGAGCCGGAAGCTCCCGTCGGCAGCCGGGCCGTGGTAGAACTTGCTCGTCGCCGTTCCGGCCGCGAGCATGTGGACTGGAAACTCGCCGAGCATGTCGGTGATTCGCTGGACCTGGTTGTACTCGTTGGCGCCCGGAAAGAGCGGAATGCCTAGGAAAAGCTCCGCGGCAATGCATCCGAGTGACCACATGTCGATGGCACCGGTGTACGGGACGCCGAGCAAGACCTCGGGCGAGCGGTAGAACCGTGACTGGATGTAGGTGTAGACTCGCTGGTGGACGAAACAGGCCGAGCCAAAGTCGATGACCTTGAGGTGCGGTGACTCGATGTCTTGTAGCAGAATGTTCTCCGGCTTGAGGTCACAGTGGATGACGCCAGTCCGGGCCAGCAGCGAGAGCACGTCCAGCACCTGCACCACGAGAACCCGGATGAGTGAGAGCGAGAGGCCCTTGAACCCGTTTTGCTTGATGAGCTCGTAGAGGTTGACCGAGAGGAGCTCAAAGACAATGCACAGATGGCCAGCGTGGACAAACGAGTCGAGCATCCGCACAATGTAGTGCTCGTTGTTGGGATCGCATGAAGTGTTGAGCCACTGCAGCACGCTCACTTCCATGTATGCCTGGTTGGTGTACGCCCGCTTGGACTTCACCACCTTGACCGCAAGCTCGGCTCCGGTTCGGTCGTCGACGCACTTGACCACCTGCCCAAACGTGCCGGCGCCAAGCAAGTCAACGACACGGTACGCCTTGGCGCCCGTCGTCCCGGCCGTCAGCACATCGTCCACGTGCAGGATGAGGTCGTGGTTCTCATTGTCGCGCCCTGAGTTGTGCATGCCTTTGGACGGCTGCGTCAGCGCCCGCCGCGGCCGTAGATGCGGTTCGTACTTGAAGCTCGGCTGGACTCGGACGTAGCACGAGAGCAGGCCGCACGTTGCCCGCGCCACCACCGACGACACACTGCGCGGCTTGGTGCCAAGCGCACTGGCCTGGGTGCGCGCTCCAGACCCAGCAGTAGGCCCGCGGCGGAACGCGCACATCCTCCCGCCGAATACCGGCTTGGCCGAGTGGGCTCGTTCCGGGCCGCCGCCGGCGCTCGACTCACCCGACGACGACTCGGTCTCCGAGTCAGACGACGAGGTTGTCACGTCAGACGTCGACGACATCGACGTGTCCATGGTCGTCGTGTCGTCTTCGGTAGTGAGCGCTGAAGACGAGATGCTCTTGAGCTTGCGGCTCTCGGGTGCTGGCGGGACCAGCCGCGTGACTGACGCTTTGGGCGGTGACGTTCGCCGCTGCGGCTTGGCTTTGGGCTGGGACGCCAGCGTCCGCACCTTGGTTTGTGGACTTGAGACACCGACACTCCCGCCGCGAGCCGCTCCCACCGATGCTGCCACCAGTGGAGAGCCCGACCCGCTTGTTCGCCGTGGCTTGATGGCGGACCGCTTCGCCGGCGCTGCTGACGCAGTCGGTGAGGGAGAAGCTGCCGCTGCTGGCGCTGCCGCCACCTTACTGTTCTGGACCGCTTGCGGAGTGGCAGTGACTGGAGCGGCGGCGAGCTTAGCCTTGGCCTGTTTGGGCATCTTGGGCCGGATCCACACCGACTCGCGGGTCTTGACGTTGTAGTAGAACGGGTGCTGGTAGTGGTCGTCCCACCGCTCAATCCAGCCGGGCGGGAGTGGACCCGGGCGCTTGGACTTGGCCTTGCGGGTCTTGCTTCCCTCGCCCGCAGCTTTAGACTTGGACTTGGACTTGGTCCGCGACCTGGAGGCTGCTGTCGAGGCAGCAGCAGCAGCGACCGAGTCGGCCTTGGCAGCCACGGCCTTGCCCGAGCCGGAGCGCGAGAGCGAAGAGCGCGAGCTGGGGCGACCGCTGGCTGATGTGGCCAGATCGGGCGCTTTGCCCGAGCGCGAGCCGCGGCGCCGGGTGACCGGCTCGGACGAGTCGTGTGCAGCGGCTTCGTCGACAGACACGCGCTCAATGCGCTTGGTCTTGATGACGGTAGCCGCACCCGACCGGGTGCCCGATCCTGACGCCGAAGACGAGGCCGAGACGGAGGCCGACGTCGAGTCTGACGAGTCCGACTCGGTGGCAGTTGTTGACGACGACGCAACCAGCGACGGCGGCGACGATGACGACGACGCCGATGCCGAGCTTCCCGACGTCGATGTGGCCGAGGTAAACGAAACAGACGACGACGACTGCGAGAGCTGGCGGAGGAGGTGATCAGTACCC